AGCTACACAAATCCATCAAGTGCAAAAAAAAAAAAAAAAACAAACCCACCACCCAAACAACCAAACAATCCTCCCCCCAAAATGCTGTGACACTGTCTATCCACGATTTAACACTTCCTGACAAACCAGGAGACGACTAAGTTCTCCTTTACTTATTTACAAAGTGGCAAGTTCTTGGTAGTCAGTTGTGTATGAGATTTCCAAAAGAATGGGGTAAGAACAACGTAGATACTTTGTGGATCACTGCAAAATGCTGGTGTGGAGGAAAAGAGACAAGTGATTACTACCCCTAAGCAACAATAATTAAGAGGGCAACAATCCTTGCAAGTACCTTTGGCAAGGGAGAATGAAGAGGCATGCTAAGGAGGAAAAGTCTTGATGGCCACAGAAACTGTTATGGTCAAATGACTGGCATCTATACAAGCAAAATTAAGCCAAAAGTGAAAGTCCAAAAATAAGGTATATCACAACGCTGTGTCTGCTGCCAGACTACTCTGTTGTACAACAGGCTGTTGATGTCAACATACACGGAATAGAGTCCCAGTGGAGCAAGCCTGTCCACGGAAAAGTTGGATTCTGCTGTTTAAGTCTGTCATGACAGACAACACACACAAAGAAGAAAGCGGCCAATGCTTAGCTCGGAAACAATGACACATGACACAGCCACTGTGCTTCCAGACCCATGCAGGCTGTATTCTGCAAACATATACAGACTGATTTTTGTCTGAGCCAGACAAACCCTGTGGTGCAAACTGTCAAATTAATACTCCTGTATCTAGCTTTGGTGTGGCATAAATGAAAAATGATCACTCTTAAAGCTCTCTCAGAAGGAAGACCTGAAGCTGCTTGTAAGGGAAAAGTAAACTGCCGTCAGTGGCATGCTGTAAGGGAAGGAAAGAGAGACTCACTTATTAGTTTTTCCTCTGTGGTGGGATTAGATGGTTTCTAGAACAAAAAATAGCATCCAGACTGATGGATGGCCAGGTCGTAAACAAAGCAACCAAAACACGTTCAGTCTTGATTATCCAGCTGAGACAATTCAACAACTGCATTATGCCTTGCTGCCGGAACTGTGTGGGAACACACAACCCCATCACACAGGGCCAAGAGCTCAGGGCTGCCTACTCAGAATTTAAATTATGCTACTTTTCTACTCATATTTAAGATACATACCGTATTAGGGACATCATAAGCAACTCCCTTGCCAAAAACTGGTGTAGTTAACCGAGAGTATACATCCTCTGCATTCAAATCTTCATTTTTACTATTGAAGAGTAGAGCAGCAGCATCACTACCTAGTAAGTACGTGAATGTCTTGCCAACCATTGTGAAACTGAATACAGGTCCATACTAAGAGAGAAAAAAATATACACCAGTTTCTTTTAAATAAGAACACAAATCATTAAATCTGTATCTCTTTACGTACAGGATTCCATAAATTACTTACTCTCCTAAGTATTTAGAGACTTAATAATTAAGATAAAAACATTTTAATCCATTTAAATGCTGTCTCAATACACTTACTAGTGATATGTAACATTGTAACGAGCACACATGACCTTGCACGTTTTAAAACCATTTAGTTTAAAAAATATAAATACAAGATTGATTACATTACAAAAACTAGCAGAGAGATTACAGCATGTGCAGCCTCCAGTAATCTACAAACACTGTCTTAAAAAATTCTGGATTTGGAGTTACGCATAGGTAATAAAGGGCAAATAAGATTTTAAAGTTTAAAGGTCATCTCCAGCAGATTTTCACATACTAAATTTGGCTTTCTCTAAGCTAACCAAGCTAAGATTTAAGCTTAAGTTTTAGACAATGTGAAACAGATCAATAAATCCTGCTTCACTGGAATTAAGGCTCTATTGCCTTAGTCCATTTCTTTTGGGCTGTTACATTATAAATATACACCAGTCCTTTCCACACTGGAGAGGGCCTTACAATTCATCAAATTGCCTACAGAGGGGGTCAGCTACATTCCAGCCTGGCCACAGATCAGTAAGGAGCAATATTAGAAGTTCCCAATGAAGGCAAGAAATAACATCATGAAAATGGCTTCTTAATTAACTTGTGATTCAGCTACAAGCATTACCCAAATACACAGGCATATTTTTTAAATCTGAATCATGACAGATATCTCAGAAAACACCAGAGCCTACTCTGCACACTCCCTTCCATATCTGAGGTGGTAAGTGAGAATGAACTGCTTTTAAACAGGGTCCAGATAGAGAACTTCATAGATACACAAAAATATGTTAGCATACGCTCAGCCAGTCATGTCAGAAAACACACCTTGTCATAAGCATTTTCCAAAAATTCAATGGGACTTTTTCCAAATGCAATTGCATGTCCAAGGAAAGGAATGCTTGATGAAATATAAGGCGGGTATTTCTGAGGAAGAAAGAAAAAAAATAATAATGAACTTTCTTCAGAGAGTCATAAAATCATGTCCGTTTACACAGAACTAAACACAGAGGAGGCTTTAGACACGTTTTGTTTAAACAGTTTTGTGAACAGGCCAACTTGGGACAACTGATTATTTTTTTAAATACAGCAACAGTGAGCCACATTCAACAGCAGCAGAGGTTAAAATAAAACGAATACAATTAAGATTCTGAAAGCAAAGCACAAGGATACTGCAGCAGGAAAAAGGCAGTCAGGAAGAAAACAGCGTTGACGGTTTGTTAAACTGTCCCCCAGAAGCATCAACCTCAGTTCAGCAATGAGTTTTCACAATGAGAACAGTCAATCATTGGAACAATCTCCCCAGGGGAGTGCTTGACTCCGCCGCATTGGACACTTTCAAGACGCAGCTGGACAGGGTGCTGGGCCATCTTGTCCAGGCTGTACTCTTGCCTAGAATGGTTAGGCCAGATCATCCTTGAGGTCCCTTCCAACCTGGGATTCTATAACTTGAGTTTCAGCCGTGCGGGGGAGCCGCCTTTTCAGCTGCACTGA